AAATGCAAAGCCAGAATTTGAACCGAGGAATCTAATTTGTGGCCCTAATTCACTACTCCATTCTACACCAAAGGGACTATAACAATAAAGAAGATGACTGACTCTAAAAAATAATATTGGATAAAACAAAACAACAACAAAAATAATCCCAGGAGACTGCAATATACTATTTCTTTTAAGATTTTATTTATTTATTTGACAGAGAGAGAAACAGCGAGAGAGGGAACACAAGCAGGGGGAGTGGCAGAGGGAGAAGCAGGCTTCCCGCCAAGCAGGGAGCCCGATATGAGGCTCAATCCCAGGACCCTGGGATCATGACCTGAGCCGAAGGCAGACGCTTAATGACTGAGCCACCCAGGCGCCCCTGCAATATACTATTATACATCATTTTTACAAAGCTCAAAACAAGTAAGTCTAAATAATATACTATATAGCAAAACATTTATTATAATAAGTTTTAAAATAAAAACAAAAAACAGACATAAAATACAGGGTAGTAATCACTTGTCTGTAGCAGGAGGCATGAGGAGGTAAAGACAGCTGCATTTAAAGTGGGATTGCTGATATTCTCATTCTTGAGTTGGGTGGGGGGGTTCACTGGTATTGATTTTATTATTATGCTTTCTAATATGTTTCCATTATTTATATTCTTCTGTGTATCAGCTATTACATTTCAAGAGATACTAAAAGCTAAGATATAAATACAATGTGAGAAAATAGAGAAAATGGGCTTTGGCTACTCTCAAGGTAGCTGATCTTAAGGGAAAAAGGAGGGAGTTGGGATCATATGGATATATACTTAAGGGGAAATTTTTCTATGGTGGGGTCTGGATCTTGCTCATAGAATGATGAGCTAGACTTATTGGTTTGACCCCAGCAATTCTGCCTCCCAAGGGGTATCTGGTAATGTCCAGAGACTTTTAGATTGTCACAACTAGGGGGATGCATTCTGCTGACATCTATTACCGAGAAGCCAGAAGCCAGCTAAGCCAGGGACCCAGTCTACCATGCACAGGACACCTCCCTCCCCAACTTAGACCTATTCATAATGTCAATAGTACTGATGATGAGAAACCCAGAGACAGATAAAGCAAAGCAGGAGAGATTAAAAATATAGTAACAGGCACACACACACACACACACACACAAATCGAGGGAACGAGGTACAGAAAAGATGGGAGGAAAGCCTGGCCCAGAGGCAAACACACTGCATCTTCAGAGCCTGGAAAGCACTGAGGCACCTTCATTCTCAAGTCCATTCCTTTAAACAGAAGGTGCATGAAGTAAACCTAGCTTTAATTCTGCTGTTACTGAAAACAAACACAAAAGTTCTATTTGAAGTTTCATTGCTAATCACACTTTGTGGAACCAGGAAGGAAAAGTACAAAACAAACACATGCAGGTGAGGAGAAGTTACCTCAGAGCCAGTGAGGCTTAAGCCTCAGGGCTCCTTGCTGGAACTAGGCCCTTCTGTGACCCAGGGAAGGACCTTAGCAATTTTGAAATTTATGTCTGAATAAGTATATTTCCTGAAGAAGTCACTAAACTGTATACACTTCAGGCCCCACAATATGAGGATTTACCCTTGACTGCAGCAAAGTTATTGAATTTATTAATTTGCGTAGCTACTTTCCTTGACATCCTTGCGAGATGGCACCCAAAAGCTTCAATGGCCACATACTATTTTATTTAGCTCCCTAAGATACAGTTCATGAAACCCTACCACTCTCCTTGTTCCTTATACAGTCTTCACAGGTCATTTCCCCAGTCTTTCCAGCATTATAGGCCTAGGGATACAATTAGGGCACAATAGTAAAGGAGAATAAGTAGGTGATTCAATTTCCCCTACTCTAAAAGGGGAATCACGTTAATGTGGGAAGCTGATACCTCTTGGTCTTAGTACCATGTCGGAAACAACAGCTGAGGAAAATCATGAGGAGATTTTGTGTACATAAAAATCATCTAGAAAGCCTGCTGTAAATGTGGATTCCAGGGACCAGCTCTATAAGAGTGACATCCTGACCCAAGAATAACAATTTAAAAACCACTTCCTTAATGCAAAGATCCTTAATCTTCCAGGTATCCCATCCCTTGAAGGATCTTTCCATAGTCACATATTTAAAATTTTAATATAGGGATTGTATCAGTTTATTAAGGCTGTGGTATAACAAAATACCATGGACTGGGTGGCATAAACAACAGAAATTTGTTTTATCATAGCTCTGGAGGCTGGAAGTCCAAGATCAAGGTGTTGGCAAGATTGGTTCTTTCTGAGGCCTCTCTCCTCAGCTTGTAGATGGCTACCTTCTTGCTGTGACTCACACATCCCTGATGTTTCTTTGTGTCATCGAATTTCCTCTTTTTACAAGGATACCAGTCAGATTGGGTTAGGGCTCACCCTAATGGCCTCATTTTAACTTCATCATCTCTTTAAAGGTCTTATTTCCAAACACAGTCATACTTGAGGTACTGGGCGTTAGGGCTTAAACATAGGAATTTTGGGCGACATTCAGTCCATAATAGAGATTGTTCTATGGGCCCGACACTTAGGATCCCTAGCTGAGATATTCCTTCACAGAAAATCGGAGAATGGAGATGATGTAACTGAGAGAAAAAGAAGACAGCCATATGGTGAACATCACAGTTAGTGCGGGAAAGACCATCCGCTCAGAGAGAGAGGAAAAACCACTGAATTTGGAAGGAGGAGGTCATAGATGGTCTTAGAGACTTGTGTATATGTACGTGTGAGTGTGTATATAATATAAATACTATATATCTGTTACATATATGAAGATATATCATGTCTCTTAAGAACTACTGAGAAAATATAATTAAAAAGGATAGTAAAAAGGAAAGACTATGTGCTTCTGCTCCCTCTTACAAGTACTAAAATGATAGTAAAGGACATAATCCAAAAAGGACAAGACAGAACTTGAGTGGAGAAGCCAAAGAAATGTCAGTAACATTTTGGAAGTTCTATGACATATGGAAAAGTGTTGAATGGCTTTGCACACTAGAAAAACTGAAATCTAAATGCTTACAAGGTGAAGGAAGCCAATAAGCAAGCTGATTCATGAAAAAGAACTTTAGAAATTCTCAGGAATTGGAAGTCTACTGTCCTTTGGAGAATAGGAATCGGATAAAGTGTCGGTGAAATCAGGAGAAATGGTCCAAAGTTTGTACAATAAAGAGGACAGAAAGTTGAGGGAAAGAGAATCAAGAAGAAAATGGAAAGAAGAAAAAACATTTAAAAAAATATTTTCCAGAGCTGAAGGCCATGAGGTCTCCTGTAGAAGGCCCAATGTGGATGAAAACATATCAACTCTAAGAGAAATCTAAGAGAAAATTTAAAACACAGAGGTACTTGGGGTCAAGATTAGGGGGCTATGGTGGCAGGAAACAGGTTATGTACAAAACTTTGAAATTAGAAAGGCATCAACTTCTCAATAGCTGTACTGAAAATCTCTAAACAATGGAGCAATATCCTCAAAATTCTGAAGCAAATGATTTTCATTCCAGATTTTTTTCTCATCTATCAATTATATGTGAAGTCTGAATAATACTATTTTCAAACATAAAAAACTCAAAATTTTACTTTGGATCCTTCCTCAAGAAGCTACCAGAAGGCACATTCCACTAAAAGGTCATATAAACTCATCAAGAAAACTCTACTAGTGTGAGGTAGAGAGGATGCTCAAGGATAATGGTGAAATTAAACTCTAGGATGGTAAGAGAACCAGAAAGGTTATCTTTAATTTAAAACCAAAAATTTGGAACTGATGGAAATTGAGAAGAGGAGAGGAAGTTGGGTAGAGAGTTTGGTGTTTGGTGAAAAATGAGAGCAGGTAATATAAAAAAATCTAAGCAAATAGAAAAAAAGAAGGGGATAATATTTAATTCCAGAGGGGGCAAAAAAAAGAAGTGTGACCTATTTTCCTTATTACACTAATGTGAATGGTTGTTACTTAAAAATTGTGCTAGAGCTAAACTGAGAAGATGAAGGGACAGATAAGTGGGGGCTTCTCATGTACTGCAGAGATATTTTAGCTATGGTACTGCAAGAAAAGAACGCTAAAATCCTCATCTTCCTTAACAGAAAGTCAACAGATAATGTCTAACATCAATGGTATCAAGAAAAAACAGTATACAAATGTTATTCAGAAAAATGGAGGTAAGAATCAGAAGAGTAACAAAAGAGTTGAAATAATTTTCTCTAGGGATTAGGAACTGGCAGAGATGAAAGGATGCTGGTTTTCATCATAAATGTTTTTAAGTGACTTTAAAAAAAATGGACATTGACCATTCTGACAAACATAAAAATAAATGTGTATCATAAAGAAAATGTATTATGTAATACATACATTTATGCCAAAAAGATACTATCATCTAAGTATTTCTGCATGTTTTAAGGTTGACTTGGGTCTGAAAAAAATGTCGCTCAACTCAACTCTGCATAAGCAGAGACTCTAAGTTCTATCTTTCTCATCACAGTCAACCTTTGCTTGAAAATGTTGGGCACTTGCCTATTTTAATATACTTTAATCCACCACTATTTAAGGAGCATCCACCTGAATTAATGATATTACCAAGAGAACATTAGCTATAGCAAGGTTACTCATCCATATTGCTTTAGGCTGGGGTTTTTGTAGAAATAATGCCTAGAGGGATTGCTGGTAAAATATGTTCCAAACCCAGGTCTCAGGACAGTGGGTGTGGTGACAAGGGCTACCATGCAAAGAGGAATGTCAAACACACTAATCCAAAGTCTTCTGGAAATACAGAGATCAGTGGTATGCTAGAAAAGTTCATTCTTGAGACTTTATAACCTTTTTATAAGGATTTCATTTTTTCATGAATGTTTTATTTCTTCCAATAAAATAATCACTCCAAAAATTAAAATGGCCAACAATCAAGAACTAATTCAGGTAACACCATGCCAGAAGTTATCTCCCTCACCCCCTTTTCTTTCCCTCCTGACACACAATTTGATGTTTCCATACCTCTCGATAGCCACTGCCGATTTGTTCCAAGCTGAGAGAATACACAAGATCCTTGCCTCCCACAAAGAGTCTCTCCTGATATTCATCCAGCAGCATTGCATGCAGATCAAGAAACCCAAAAGGGCTATGAAAGACTGATGTTCGATTTAGGTCCAAGAGTTCTGAAATGCAAAAGAAAATGTTCGCTAAACAAACAAAAGACAAAATACAAATACCTTTATAACACTTTTTTCATGGCTCAATTAACTACAGGATTCCAATAGGTATGACAACATTCATTTTATCACAAATACAAAGCCTTTAGAATTTATTACTCAAAAGATTAAAAATATGCAGTGCATTAACAATAGTGTATTGCATATTTGAAAGATGCTAAGAGAGTAGATCTTGAAAGTTCTCATCACAAGAACAAAAAGTCTATGTGATAAAATGGATGTTAACTCAATTTACTGTAGTAATCTATTTCAAGATATGTACGTATATCATGTACATTTTTAAATTTATTCAGTGCTCCATATTGATATGTCTGTTTCTTGGTAAAACTAGAAAAACTAAAAAATTGTTTAACAAGTAAAAAAGTGTAACTGGGAATAAGTTTTAATGTGCACAAACTAAAATCTTTATAAGTTCGTGAATCTAAAAACTCCAATATGTAAGGTAAATAACCTATTTTTTTTTAAAGATTTTATTTATTTGTCAGAGAGTGAGAGAGAGCGAGAGAGCACAAGCAGGGGGAGCGGCAGGCAGAGGAAGAGGCAGGGTTCCCGCTGAGCAAGGAGCCTGATGTGGGACTCCAACCCAGGACCCTGGGATCATGACCTGAGCCAAGAGCAGACACTCAACTAACTGAGCCACCCAGGCATCCCAATATCCTATGTTTTTAAATACAGAAGGAATTAACCTTCATGATCTTTATGTAAAGTGCTATGTGGAAAAGCCATTTTACTGTGAATTTTATATTTACTTCTCTGTGTTCAACAAATACTCCAAATCTAGAAAAAATATTCCAAAAGTGTGTCCATTTAATTCCACATGAACACAAACTCACACACAAAAAAAATGTCTCCACTTAATATTGGTTTTGAAAGTCACATCCAAAATCAAAGCGTCCACGTCTGGAAATTCTCAGGTTGTTAATACAAAGAGGTAAAGCATGATAACATTCAGTTCAGCAGGGACAACTGATAAAGCTGGTGGGGATCTCTAAGAGATCTCAGTTGGTTTTTGGTTCGTGTTTATGTATTCATGCCCACAGCAGAAATCACAAATGATTTGTTTCAACTAACATACATTTAAGCTTAGAAAGTCACAATGTGACACACCTCTCATGTGTGTGTATTTGTTTGTTTGTTTGTTTGAAGGTATTGAACTGCATACGGCAGTTCAGGACTTAAGCTTGGTAAGTGATATATGCGAGCCTTCGATGATGGTAATACTGCCCCTAAGACTAGACCCTGCAACAAGCTGAAAAAGTCCCGAAGAGGCCCCTTTGGGAAATACTGACAAGTTCGAAGAGAGCTTCATCTTCCAAAGGTCAAAGCCCAATGCATCTGACAGAGAACAGGGAACACTGGTGACCAGACACTAAATCCAGAGAGCAGGACGAAATGTGACCAATCTGTAGAGCATCGAGCTCACTCTGCTTCTGAGAACAGAGAGATGAAGGACGTTTTCTTGCTCTGTTAAAAATGTATCTGGGGCGCCTGGGTGGCTCAGTCCGTTAAGCATCTGCCTTCAGCTCAGATCATGATTTCAGGGTCCTGGGATGGAGCCCTGTGTCCATTGAACCCTGTCATCAGGCTCCCTGCTTGGCGGGGAGTCAGCTTCTCCCTCTGCCCCTCCCCCTGCTCACGGTTGCTCTCTCTCTCAAATAAATGAAATCCTTAAAAAAATGTATTCATCGTCTGTATCTCTACTTTGAAACTGTAGATGTCCAAAATTCTGTGGAGTAGGGCTAAGTTTAAACCTTTAGTTTAATACACCTGAAATTAATGTAACACTGGGTGTCAACTATACTCAAATAAAAAAATTAAAAACCCTTTAGTTTAAAATAAGAAATATTGCCAAAATCAAAGTATCTCTTATAAAGGTAAAACTTAACAATACTGAGTCATTAGACTCTTCCCCTAAATAAAGAAGGTGAAAACAAGTTTTGAGGGAGGGATGCAAAGAATATTAACGTGCTTTATCTGGGGAGGAGGAAAGAGGACTGATCAGGGGTTCTGAATCCTGGAAGACAAATTTTTCCCATTTAGCAATTTTGTCAAGGTAAAATCATATCACTTTTCCTTCCTTGCTAGGCATCCACAAAAGCAAGAGATGCATATTTTAGGGATTCGATACCATAACAAAAATATGGATCAACACTGTCTATTACCATTACACCTTGTCTTTACATATGGTCACTTATGGTTTTATATCAGGGCTGTTAAATGGACTCTTTTCCAGAAAATGTTCCCCAGTTATTCCAATAGGTTGCTAAAATTTTCCAAGTTCAGTGAAATCATTATCTGAAAGGATGCAACTAAAAAACACATTATCTGAAAGGATGCAACTGAAAAACAGATTATCTAGAATTAAACAGGTCTCTAACCCAAACACAGTAAGGTGCAGAGTTTGGGTGATTAAGTTTGCTGGAAAAAACAAAGTGATGAAAGGAATAAAATATGAGAGTATACCCTGAAGTGTTGCCACAGTGGAATGGTCTGTGCCCATATTAAAAAGTCTGAATTCGAATGAGGCACTCCAGGAATCTGTTCCATCTAGAGAACATCTTACTTATTTCCCAATGAGGTCATTAGGACCCCATTACCCCTGTATACATTATAGAGAGATAGACATTAACAGTTACTTGTTTTTATGACTTGTTAATTTCTGTTACGCTTACTATAATTCTAATAGTCTATAGGTGGCAGTTCCTATTTCTTTGTAATAATAGAGACTGATTACTGATGCATCAAGCTTATTTTATTCTGGTGTATCGCCTTTTATTCTGACCCATGTGCCTATTTTGGTAGCCAGGTCTATCCCATGAGATCACAAAAATACACTCATGCACCTACAGAGAAAGAGTTTGGAAAATGCGAAGAGAAAAAACTGAAATGTGCGTCCAACAAATGCAAATTTCTTAAAATGTTCATTTCTTATGGCATTTACATTTATCTTTTTTCCCTCCCCACAACAGTGAACAACCACAGAGTAACCGTTTAAATTGCCACTGTCCTGGGGCACCTGGGTAACTCAGTCAGTTAAGCGCCCCACTAGGGTTTATTGAGATCAAGCCCCGCCTATGGCTCCACACTCAGTGTGGAGTCTGCTTGTCCCTCTCCCTCCCCCTCTAACCCTTCCACTGCACTCTCTCTCTCTCCCCGTCTGTCTCTAAATTAAATAAATAAATAAAACCTTCTAAAAAAATAAAATAAATTACCACTGTCCTTTATTTTACTGATAAACTCAGGTGCCCAGAAATTAAAATAACCACCCTACAGACATACATAATTACAATGAAAAATCACTCAAATTACCAAAAAAAACATGAGAATTAAAGTACAACAGGTGTGTAGGTCGTAACAAAGAGTCCTGCAGACTGAGAATCTGAAGAGCCACACGCAAGTCTTGGCTTTGCCATTAATTACCTGCATCACCTTGAACAACCATCTAGCCTCTTGGTTACACCAACTAACATTTCTGTTGATGGTTTCCTTACATGTTAATCACCATTGCACATTCAAAATTCTTGTCATTGACTAAACTGCATTTCTAAAGTGGACGTCATAAAAACATTGTAAAAAAACATAGATATTTTAGAGTCTTTCAAAGCACAGCATAAAGCCCGTGTTTTGGAAGTTTAACCAATGGAAGGACTATAATGAACAAGTGTAAATATCACGTGCCGTATTCAAGCTTGCCTAAAGAGAAGCAGTTAAATTATTTATGACTTTTCATGTATTTAAATGATTATAGGGTCTAAGAATACTTTTTTAAGTTATAAGGAACTTTGGATCTCATTTATGTTGCCTATTTTATTTATGCTGCCAAGATATGTTTGGATACATTAAGTTGAATATCATAGACATGCCTTAGGAAGTAAGTCAATAAATTTCATTTCATTTATGAAGACACTTCCTAGAATAATTCCTAAAGTCACCTTACCTTTACAAACTTATAAGACCCAATGAATAGACTAGTTTTCTTTAAACATTTTCACAAAATGAGAGAAGATTATTGAGTTGCTTTTGCAACTTTCCACTTTGACCATCACCATACAGCACAATAGTGCCACAAACAAATTCCTAAGAAGTCTGGGCTTGTAGCTAGATATATTATTTCAGAATCATGATACTGACCAAAACATATCAATGTGATGGTTTATATTCTTCTTGTCAATTTCCGCAGGCATAAATCCGGATTGTGATCCTTAATTTTCTCAAAGACCAAAACTGTCCTTCTTAACTGTCTGTGATTCTCCAACATCCTTGACTTTAAGTCAGGAAAGGTTAAAAGTATCCATTATGAGTAAATTCTATAATAGAAACATTTTTTAAAGGCTATATCTAGTAATACTTCAATACTAACTCCAATTTCCTACTCTTATTTAACTTTCCTCTTCCCAAAAAGGATCTGAGATGACTTATACAAATACATTCAATTGAACAAATATAATGCTAGCTAGGGTTTATCAAGATGATAAAGGGAAAAATAAGGAAAATAAGATAAGACTGGAATTAATTTTATTAGCTGAAAGTCACTCTTTAATATCCCTATGTATTGTTGAAGTGAATACTAAAATTGACCCCAGACTTCCTAAAATTCAAAGTAAAAGTCACTATAACACGATAGAAAAACTGTGTCAGTTGCTTAGGAACATTGCTTGGTGTGATGGCTAACTTTATATATCAATTTGACTAGATCAGGATCGCTTAAATATTTGGCTAAACATTATTTCTGGGTATATCTGTTAAGGTGTTTCTAGATGAGATTAGCATTTAATTGATGCGCCAACTAAAGCATCATGGGAGGGTCTGAGTAGAACAAAAAGTGGAGGAAGGAAAAACTCACTCCTTTCTTCCCCCCCGCCCCCCCGCCTCTCCGATTGAGCTGGTTTCAACTGCCCTCAGACTGAGACTTACATCATCATCTCCACTGGTTCTTACGCCTTCAG